GGGGCGATGCCTGGGGTAGGAGGGTACTATGGTGGGGTTTAATTTGAAAAGATGCAACACCAGTTATGAAAGTCAGAATCAGAGTTAAGGGAAAGCCAAAGAACCAGGAGGCATCAGTTCTGAAGATGAAGTACAAATGGAATGGGAAGGTGAGCTGTGAAATCAGTGGCTGCTGGAGTCAAGAGTATAACAGGGACAAGTGGCTAATGTGTATCCCAACTCTCTTTCTGCACCAGTGAGAAGCTGCGCCACTGGACTGACCTACAGGTAGGGCTGGGTCCATGGTGACAGTGGGACTACACAGAGTTGCTCTGAAAGGAAGATGTCTAGTCAAATTCTGCAGGGGTGAGGAAGATGAATATAGAATTATTTCTGGCAGAAGCCCTGGTGGTACAGTGGTTAAAGCTATTGACTGCTAACTGAAAGGTCAGTGGTTCAAAGCCATCAGCGGCTCCATGGGAGAAAGATGTGGCAGTCTGCTTCCATAGGGATATACAGCCTTGGAAACCCTGTGGGGTCACTATGAGTCGGAATCGATTCGACAGCAGTGAATTTGGTTTTGGTTCTTTTTTTTTCCTAGCAGTAAATCTGTCTTTGATTACTAGGTGGATATGTTACATTTGACCATTGGTCTGCGCTAGGAGACAGTGGGTATGAACTCTGACGTCCTAACCTCCCACCGAAACTCAAAAGTCACATGACACTGGAGTCTGTGAAGGCACAAAATCTCATTGAAAATTAGTCTTATAGCGCCTGGTGTGGGTGGAAGGCTGGCACAGAAGTTCCTTCTTCTCTAGCCTCCCATGATTCTTTCCCTCACTCTGTTCCAGCCATACAGATTTCTAGTTCTCTGAATTTGCCATCCTCCTTTCTACCACTTAGGGCCATCACACATGCTTAACTTTTGCCTGGAATGCTCTTTCCCAAGGCAATACCTACTCATGTTTCATGTTAGCTTGAACATTACCTCCTCAAGGATGTTTTGTCCTGACCTCCCAAACAGGGCTAGGCTGCCCTTTTAAATGCTCCCACAGCACTCTGAACTTATGTTCCATAGCTCCCTCTGATCTTTTCTGCAATTTAAACATACTTAAGCATAAAGCTTTGTTTAAATTTCACATTAATTTCTTGGGATATATTCCTAAAAAGGGAATTGAGATAAAGGATATAAACCTTTTTAAAGAATTTGGTATATATTGCCTAAGGAGCCCTGGTGGTGCAATGGTTAAGCACTTGGCTGCTAATCAAAAGCACTCAGCAGTTTGAACCCACCAGCTGCTCCACTGGAGAAAGATGTGGCAGTCTTGGAAACTCTATGGGGCAGTTCTGCTCTGTCCTATAGGGTTGCTATGAGTCAGAATAAACTCAATTGCAACAGGTTTATATACTGCCTAAATGCTTCCTACAAAGCTCTACCAGTTTAAACTTCTATTAATAGTATATAAATGTCTGTATCACCCAGTCTTGCTAGCACACAGTAGTATGTCTATAAAAATCTTTATTATTTAAAATATGACTAGTTAAAAGTCAGATCATATTTATATTTACACTTTATTCATTTGCAGTGAGATTGAAAATTCTTTTATGAATTTACTAGCCATATGGCATTCAATTCTATGAATTATCTGCTCATTTGCCCTTTTTCTATTGGTGTCTTAGATTATTTTTTTAATGGACTTAAAAGGACTCTTTTAATAGAATATTAATCCTTAGCTTACTGTATTCACTGAAAATACAACTTCCCAGGCCTTTTTTGGCCTTTAATTTTATTATGTGTTTAACAGACAAAAGTTTTAAATTTCCAAGTGCTCAGTCTGACTTGAAGATTCAGTATATTGTGATCTGGCAGAAATTAGAGGGAGAATGCAAATATTAATTAATTATCTATTTATTTACTGCTCATTCATTCATTTGTCTATCACTGGCTATTACCTGTGCTAAGGATCCAGTCCCTGCTACTACTGTCTGAGTGTCTCTGGTTTCAATCGTGGCTTCTTGCCCACATGTCTAGCCTATGGTCATCTATGACTATCTGATAGTTTCAGTGTTGGGAGAGGCAATTTATCATGGGCCCTGAGCATCCCTTCACTTTCTTGCTGGGTATGCCAAGCATGCAAGGCATAACTGCTCTCTACCCATTTCTCAGGGTTGTGTTTGTAGTGAACAACCTATAGGAATGAGGTAATGTCTCCCCTCACCCTTCAACAAAGTGCAGGCTTGCTTCTGCTTGTTGTTAAAGAAGTAGATTCCCCAAGTTCAGCATTCCTTGGTTGTGATGCAAACCCACTTTATGTTCAGCACTCATCTAGGCCCACCAGCATTACCCTCATGGGACTTGGGGGGCATGGAGGAGCAAAACAAATTAACATTATGCTTGTGCTGCTTGTTATGAGGAATAAAGTCATGAGTAATAAAGTCCTTTGTCTCTGACCCAGGAGTCTTGTTTCTTCTACAAGCATCCATGAAACAGTAACAGGCTTCCTTGTTAGCTTGCCAGTAGGGTAAATTCCCAGACCCTTCACAGTTCTTGACACTCAGTATCTGCCCTCGTTCTTTCTCCATTCAGTAAGCAGCTCATCTACTTGCTTGAACAAGTGCTTGTTAGCCCAGTATGCTAATCAACCTATCTGTTAAATGTCAGCAAGCCATCTTGTTGCCTAGCAGATAGGGACCCATGACTATGACTCTTCCTTGAGACATGGCCTGGCATAATACCTTTCTAGTATTAACATCCAATATTCCCATATATTCTATACTCTGATCAAACGACAATGATCTTGTTACTCAGACATAACCCTTGCGTTCTTTATACCTTTTGTCATATTGTTCTCTCCTCTTAGAATTCCTAGCCCCCACTGTCTAGAATAGCCTCCTATAATGTCTGTTGAAATTCTGTCTACCCTTTGAGGTTCAAATCAAATATCCTCTTGAATTTGACCAAGAAAATAAAATTTTGTTTATATCTATTTTTAAGATACTTACAAAATGCCTCGTTCTATAGTTTTTTTGTTGTCTTCTTAAATTATTTCCTATGATACTGATAAACTAAAAATAATTTATATAATGAATTTATTCATCTTCATTATTTTATAGAGGAAGTGTCTGAATATACACTTTCAATCTGAAACTATGAAAATTATGAATGTCACATTTTTAATCCACATTATATGCTATAATATTAAGTCATTTTGTTTTGTTTTTTTTCTCTTTCATTCGTCTGAAAAATATTTATTGAGATTTACTACATCAAGTACTGTTTTAAGCATTGCAGATATAGCAGTGAACCAAAACAGGCAAAGTTCCTGTACTCACGGAGCTTCCATTCTAATAAAGGATAAGGATAAGTGCTAAGAAGAAAAATAAGCAGGGAGAAGGTGCTAGGGAGTGTTGCAGGTTGGGAAGAGTAGTGGCGGTTGTTGCTATTTCATCTAAATTAGGCAGGAAAGGTGGCACTAAGAACATAACATCTGAACAAAGACCTGAAGGTAATGAAGGAGTGATCTATGCAGGTCTCTGAGGGAAGAATATTCCAGCAAGTGTAAAGGCCCTATGATGAGTGTGTCCTAGGTATATTCAAGGGACAGTGAGGAGATCAATGTGGCTGGAATGGAGTAAACAAAGGGGAGAGGGGTAGTCAGAGAAGTGGGGGCTAGCTGATAGTGAGTCTTGTGGGCTACTGTAAGAATTAACTTTTACTCTGAATAAAATGAGAAGCCAAGGGAGGGTTTTGAGCAGAAGAGTGACTTGATCTGATTTGTATTTTAACAGGGTCAGGCTACTGTGTGGATAACAGATTGATATTAGGCATTATGGACTGAATTGTGGCCCTCAAAAATTTTTGTTGAAGGTCTAACCCCTGGTGCCTGTGAATGTGACCTTATTTGGGAATAGGATCTTTGAAAACATTATCAGTTAACATGAGGTCATCCTGGAGTAGCTTGTGTCCTAATCCTGTATGACCAGTGTCCTTATAAAAGAGGAGAAGATATACCGGAACAGACACACAGGGGGATGATGGTCATGTGAAGATACATCTACAAGCCAACGAATGCCAAGAAAAGCCTGGAGCTACCAGAAGCTGGAAAAGACAAGGACAGCTCTTATCCTAGAGCCTTCAGAGAGAGCCCTGCTGAGTCCTGAAGCAGACTTTCAGACTCTAGAACTGTGAGACAATAAATTTCTGTTCTTATAAGCCACACAGTTTATGCTTTTGTTACGGCAGTCTTAGAAAACTAACACAGTAGGGGAAGGGTAAACAGGGAGACTGTTAGTAGGCTTTTTCAGTAATGTAGGTTAGAGATGATGGTGTCTTCAGCCAGGCTGGTAGTGATGCAGGTGGTAAGAAGTGGTCAGACTCTGGACATATTTTGACAGTGGAGCCAACAGAATTTGCTGATGGATTGGATGTAGGGTATGACAGAATGAGAGAAGTAAAAAATGATTTAGATTTTGGCTTAAGTTACTAGAAATGGAGATGGCATTTAGAGAGGTAGGGAAGCCTGCAGAAGAAGGTCTGGTGGAGAGAAAGTCAGTTCGGGTTAGGATAGGAGATGTCTGTAGCTCTGGTGAGTCCTCAGGGAAAGGAGTAGTATCAATCAAGGGGTAATCAGTAGATAAAGGATACTTAAAGTCAAAAACAAGATGAGATAGAATGATGGAAATGAGAAAAGATCCCAGGACTGACCTGGGGAAATCTATTACTTAGATGTTAGGAGTGGATGAGAGATCAGAAAACTGAACAATTATAGCCAGAAAGACTAGAGGAAAACTAAGAGAAAGCAATGTCCTAAAAGCCAAGTAAACAGTTACTTGTTTGGTTTTAATATTTTCAGATCATCAGGACCAATTTAATCCAGCTAGCTCTAAAACTTCCTAGAGTGTCAGGTAGCCCAAAAAAATTAAATTATTCCTTAAACAGCAGCTATTTAGTCCATTTCTTCAATGAGATGATTCACTATGCAAGTTGATAAATAAAAATGAATTATTCCACTTAAACATACCTTGAAAGAACATATTTGGTTTCCAGAAAGGTTTAATCTTTCCAGTTGTTCATTAGGGTCAAGACATCGACCTTTAATTTAAAAAACAAGATGAAAGAAATATTAAATTTCTTGTTTTAACTCCTGTTCATATCCTGTCATGTTTGAGTTGTATGTAATCATTTCTTGCATATAAATAAGATTAACACTGCCACTGTATAATGAATTACAACTGATTAATGGGCAATATTTTCACATCCTATAATCAAAGGTTTAGAAATGCTTTGCTAAGATATCATAGAAAAAAATCTAAAAGAAAGAAATCTAAGTGTGTACTTTTTATACTGATAACAAATGATTGCAGCATTATCTCAGATTCCAAATGAAACATTACATACCAATGTTACTTATTAGATTTCCAGCAAGGTTGAGATCACTTAAATTCTTCAAAGTTTGTAAGCCCTAAAAATTTAGAGGACAAATAGTTTAGGAAAAAAATCATTAAAATCTATATTTACAAACCACCTGATCAATCTGGTTAGTTTACTGGGTGCATTGAGCACTGGGTGCTATATACTTCACAAGCACAGAGGGGGGTGGGTGCCTCACTGAAGCCATTCTTGTTTCTCTATACTGGAACCTGGAGAGAATTGTTGGAGGAGAAGGGAACAGTGAGGGGAATAGAGAAAAAAAGAGGAGGAGAAGAAGGAAAAAGAACACACCACACAGTGTGTTGTATAATCTTTGGCAAGTTATACAGCCTCTCTTAACTTCATTTTTTTAAAACCTGCAGAGCAGGAATAATAACATCTACTTCTCAGATTTGGTGTAAGCAGTAAAGGAAATGATGTATACAAAGCCCTTTGAACATTATAAAATGCTATACGCATGTTATTTTTAACAACAATAATTATAAGTCATGAATATTTTATTTCTTAAACATAACATGACCTTGGATATTGCAGTTTAAACTCCACAACAGTAATTTACCTTACATATAAATCATTGAAATTATCTTACCTCAATATTTTTAATTGCATTGTGGTTTAGCCAAAGAACTTCCAATCTGATTAATCTCTCTAAATTTTCTATTTTGGAAATTTTATTATAATATAAATACAGTTTTTCCAAATTTCTACATCTTTGAAGTCCTTCAATTTTCTGTTAAAAAAAAAGAGACTGAATAGTATTACCTCATATTTTGTCATTAATCCTTTGATTTTTAAAAGAAAATATAATTATAAACCTATTTTGTTAAAAGAAACCTATTTTATATTTTCTTTTAAAAATCACATTTTATTGCAAAACCAACATCCAACAAAACGAACTAAAATTTTTAAAAGAAAAAACATAATCCCTCTACCTAAATACAACTATTTCAATTTGGCGTATTCTCCTTCAATTTTAATCAACTCTAGGCCTATTTTTATATAGTTAGGAGCCCTGGTGGCCCAGTGGTTTAAGTGATACGGCTGCTAACCAAAAGGTCGGCAGTTCAAATCCACCAGCTGCTCCTTGGAAACCCAATGGGCAGTTCTACTCCGTCCTCTAGGGTCGCTATGGGTCAGAACTGACTCAACGGCAATGGGTTTGGTTTTTGGTTTTTATAATCGTAATGCATGTAAAATTTTATTTTTTTTACTTAAGATAATCTAAAATGTTTTCATAATTTAAAAAATTATAATATTTAATACTTGCAAAATATTTTATGAAGTTGATGATTTAAAGAATTACTCCATGTATGGCAAATACGTTTCAAATTTTTAGCTATTATAAATACTACTGCAAGAAATATTTTCATGAATACAGTTGTTTTTTGCTGTTGAATTAATTCTCTAGAATAAAATCTTAGAATAAGGGTCTCTGAGTTAAAAGGTGTGTACAATTTTGTGGCTCCTGATATATTTTGCTATATTGCTTTTCAACACAGATGTTCTAGTACAACATATACAAAAATCAACTCAAAATGCATCAACGACCTAGATCAGGAAACACAGGGGAAAATCTTCATGACCTTGGATTTGGCAGTGGATTCTTATTAGATATGACACCAAAAGCACAAGTAACACAAGAAAAAATAGAAAAAATGAACTTCATCAAAATTAAAAACTTTAGTGCATCAAAGAACACTATCAAGAGAGTGAAAAGACAACCCACAGAAAGAGAGAAAATATTTGCAAATCATGTATCTGATAAGGGATTAATATCCAGAATATATAAAGAATCCCTACAACTCAACAACAACAACAAAAAAACTCAATTATAAAATGGGCAAAGGACTTGAATAGACATTTCTCCAAAAAAGATAACAAGTAGCCAACAAGCACATGAACCAATGTTCATCATCCTTAGTCATTAGGAAAATGCAAATCAAAACTTCAAGGAGACATCATTTCCCATCTACCAGGATGACTATTATAAAAAAAAAAGAAGAAAAGAAATAGAAAAATAACAAGCATTGGTGAGGATGTGAAGAAATTTGAACCACATCCCAGTGCATTACTAATGGGAACTTAAAATGGTGCAGCCACTGGATAAAACAGTTCAGTGGTTCCTCAGAAAGTAAAATATAGAATTACCATACCCAACAATTCTACTCAAAAGAACTGAAAGCAGGGACTCAAACAGTTATTTGTACACTAATGTTCATTACAGCATTATTCACAAGAGGCCAAAGGCGGAAACAACTCAAGTGTCCATCAACAGATAAATGGATAAGCAAAATGTGGTATACACATACCATGGAATATTATTCAGCCATGAAAAGGAATGAAATCTGTACAGGCTACAACATGGATGAACCACGAAAATATTATACTAAGTAAAAGAAGCCAGCCACAAAAGGACATATATTGTATGATTCCTCTTGTATGAGGTATCTAGAATAGGCAAATTCAGAGAGACAGAAAGAACAGTAGTTACCAGGGGCTGGAGGGAGGGGGGACTGGGAGTTATTGCTTAATGGATATAGACTTTCTGTTTGGGATGATGGAAATGTTCTGGAAATAGATGGTGGTGATGGTTATATAATACTGTGAATGTACTTAATGTCAACTGTACATTTAAAAATGTTAGAAGAGTAAATTTTATGTTATATATATTTTACCACAATTTTTTTTTTAAAAAAGCAGCATAAGATCTATATAATGACCCCCTGAGACTATTGTCATGAAATACTCTTTAAACCTTGAACCAAAACTATTCCATGAGGTCATCTTTTGGCTAAATAACAGACTGGTTCATAAAATAAACAATGTCATCCATGAGTACTGTGCTTCTTTAAAAAATCATCTATATGACACCAAACGGTCAACATTTATTTAAAAGCACAGACAAGAAGGCAAGGTGGCAGGGAAACTAGATTACTGGAAACGGAACAACCAGAATAGAGATAATGAGAAAGCTGACACACTGTGAAAAATGAAACCAATGTCACTGAACAAATTGTGTAGAAATTGTTAAATGGGAACCTAATTTTACGGGTAAATGTTCACCAAAAACACAATAAAGCATTTTAATTAAAAAAAATCTATACAAAGAAACTCTGAGAAAAAAGGAAAAGAAAAACAAAAGCTTATTTAAGAACCCTCCCAAGAAAAGAGTACATCAAAAGGCATAAAAACCATGACCAAAGTTTGGCACCAAATGACCGAACATAAGGAAGCCATCATCATTACTAACATAAGACAAACATAAGAGATCTCAGCTCAGTCAGGAGGGCAAGACAACAAAAGGAGCTGAAATACAGGTAGCAGCTCTCAGAAAACAAAAAATAAAATAAATAAGGAGCAGCAAACAATGAAACGGTTTTCTTGTGAGGAAAAGAAAATGAGATGAAGGGAATAAAGGGACTCTTCTTTTTCATAAGAATTCCAGAATGATTTAATACGTTAATGTGAATGTATAATCTGATTTCATAGTAGGCATTAAACAATTAAACAGCTCTTTCTGACAATAAAAAAAAGATGTTCCAATTTCTACACAACCAATAGTGTCTAAGTGAACCCGATTTCACCACTAAGTAATAAACCAAAAAAAAAAAAAAAAAAAACACGAAACTAGTTGCCATCGAGTTGATTTCAACTCACGGTGACCCCAGTATTGCGGCGTAGAACTGTGCTCCACAGGATTTTCAAGGCTGTGACCTTTCGAAAGCAGGCCTGTGGATGGGTTCGAACTGCAGTCGAGTCTGCTTAACCATATGCACCACCCAGGAATTCCTACTAAGTAATACTGGCTATTATTTTATTCAGTAAAAAGTAGAATATGTTTATGTTTTGGTTCCTTATTTCTATTTTCTCCTTTGCATAAATCTATTTCTATCTTTTGCCCATTTATCTGTTTTAACCCATACCAAAGAATTCAGGATAAAATCTTTCATGTAAGGTCATATGTTTAGACTTACCTCTATGAAGCATTCAGCAATCCAAAGTTCTTTAAGCAGTAAACAAGTCTCTAACCCTGAAATTTCTTTTATATCTTGAGCAATAATTGTGAGACTTGTTAAATTAGGAAATAATGATAATCCAACTATGTGGGGATAACCTGAGAAAAACATCTCCAGTTTTGTAGTATCTGATCCTTCTTGTTCGACTGTCTCATAAGATAAACCATTGCATAAACACTGTTTAAAGAAAGAGAAATTGGGTTATTACCTATTTTAAATAATCCAAAAATTATTTTTTCCTTTAGAAATTATAAACTGTCAATTGCACTGATGCTATTTTTATACTCTGACTAGAGAGAAAGTTGTACCACACATATGACTTTTCTTTGCTTTCAAAAGTCGTGGGATAGACCAGATCTCTAGATAATCCTTCTCGTTCCAGCAAGAAGCACAAAAATGTTCCACTTAATATCCTCACAAATGTAGTTGAAAGAAATTTAGCTTCGACTCACCAGTTCTTTAATTATTTCTTCTTGGTTCAGGTTTTCACTTTCAATCATCTTCCATAAAAAATAATGGTCATAATAATATATCTGTTAAGCAAAGTGAAAAATTAAAATAAATACTAGAGCCATGTCATTCCAAGTTGAAAGGGATCTTATTTAGGTTAAACCACCCAACTTTGAAATCTTTACACAGTACATTACCAAGTGTCTTTTTGGACCCCAAGACCATCCATTCCATTTCAACTTTTCTGTTAGAAAGTTGTTGTTTATTCTGAGTTTAGTTCTGTCTCCCCATAAGTCCTCTACATTTGTTGTCATTCTATTTCCTGGGTTCATACAGAACAAATGTAATCCCTTTTCCATACAATGGGCCCTTAACACTTGAAGCAGCCATCTAGTCTACCCATTACCTAGCTCCGAGTTCATGTCTTTTAATTCTCTCACTAGACATCCTTGTTTCTCTCCTCTAAACAAGTTTCAGTTTATCCTTCTTACACTTGGTGTCCAAAAATGAACAGAGTTCTTAAAGTGTATTTAGAGAGCAAAGAGGAGATTCCTCAGGGCTCAGCAACATACTTGGCTTGGTAATAAATGTTTATTAAAATGCATTCACCAACTTCTCTTTCATTCTAGATGATATGAATTGAATAATGTCTAAATAGCTGCAATACAATTTAACTGAACTTTTCATAATTTTTAGTATTTTCATTATATTATTCAAGATATATGCTATTTAAACATATAGGAATTATAGTTTTAATGTGATGACATGACAAGGCATTGCCAAGTGAGAAAAGCAAGATGTAACAAACACCATATACTGTGATTTCACTTTTTACAATAACAATACCCCTATAAGTCCCCTATACCAATGGTCATGAAGATGGTACAAGACTGGGCAATATTTCATTCTGCTATACATGATATGAGTAAGATGGAAAGCTATATGAACATTTCTGAGTGGAAGAGTAACATGAGCTGCCTTAGCTTTTGAAAAGGATCACTCTAGCTGCTGTGTTGACAACAGATTGTAGGAGTCAAACGTAGAATCAAGGAGACCATTTAAGGGGTCATTGAAATAATGTAGCTGAAAGAGATGGTGGTTTGGAGTAGGGTGGTAGTATTGGGGGTGGTGGGAAGTTGTGGATGATGGATCTATATTGAAGGTAATGCCAACCATTTCTACTCTGCTTCCCCTTGTCAAAATAAATGCATCTTTACCCCACTCTTGGAGTGAAGTATAGGCTGCAGGAAAGGCAGGCAAGGGAGCACTTAGTGAGGAACAAACTGAAAGAAATAGATATGCCATCAAAGGCCCATACACAGAGGTAGGCCAGAGTCTTAACCTCCCTTAATCTCCTCCCTCAACCTTGGATGGTACACAAGTAATAGGGGGCTTTGTAGCACCTCTGCTCATCAAAAGGTGAGCCCCTACCTTCTTAGTAAATAGTCTGTGAGCACCAGAGGAAAGCCTACCTTCCCACCAGCACACAAGCGGCAACGCCTGTCCTCAGAATCTCCAAAGCCAACTAATAGTTGTCCAAGTTATCTAGACTATGTCCAAGATATTTATTCCAGAAGGAATTAAACCATTCCATTTATTATATACTAAATTACCACATATAAACCCATTGCCGTAGAGTTGATTCTGACTCACAGCGACACTATAGCACAGAGTAAAACTGTCCCATGTGGTTTCCAAGGAGTGTCTGGCAGATTCAAACTGCCAACCTTTTGGTTAGCAGCCGAACTCTTAACCACTGTGCCACTAGGGCTCCTAATTATCATATATACTTGGGCCTAGTTTTGGACTTTCTAATCCGTGCCTTTTCTTAGCTCTATTCCTATACCAGTACCACCTGCTTTAAATACTGTAATTTATACTGTAAACTCCCACATCATCTTCTTCAGAAATTTCCTGGCTATTCTTTCATATTTATTTTCCCAAATGAGGTTTACAATCATTTTATAAAGTTTTTAAAAATCCAATTTGCATTGTAAATTTAGAGAGAACTGCCATCCTTACAATATTGAGTCTTCCTATTCAAGAGCAAGGTATATTTCTCCATTTATTCAAGGATACTATTTTTCTCAATAGAGAAATATGCATATCTGGGATAGCAACCTTACCTCTCATGTCACCTTATTTTTCTTTCTCAATGCTCTCATTTAAGAAAAAAAAATCTTGTTCTAATTCATTAGTTAATTAACAAAACAAAAAATTAAAGACTCCCAGATCTTATAAATTTGTATAAGTACATATGAATTTTGAGGAACCCGGACCTTCCTGCTACTTACAAGACTCATATATTTTCTCTAGTCACAAGTGGACCTGAGCTTCCGGCTGAAGTTTCTGATTCCATCAAAAGATGAGGGTCCTGTGGGCCAGCCTGTACTCACCATTCTGCACTCTGGGGAAGCTCTTTTCAGAATCTGCCTCTCTAAAGGGTTATAAGTCTTCTCTAGTTTGTCTAGGGAACCAGAAGCCACCAGGAGCTTCTAAGCTCTCACCCTTTGAATCCCAAATCTGGGATTGATCCAATCACCGCCCTTTTCCACTCTGGAGTACTGCCAGAAATTTCACATGACCAGCAAGAAGTTGAAGTCACGACAAACGTATGGCCTCCGATTTCAGTTGGACCTTCAGCAACAAATGTTTTGTTTTTTCTCATCAACTTCCTCTCCAAGGACAGTAGGACTAGAAATACAGATTTGGGGTTCATGCCACAGTGACTATTCTGAACTTTTACCATTCTTCTCAAGTTCTCTCTGTCTCCCTCTGCAGATGATTTTGTCCCATCTTCACGGAGAACAGTGATGCCATCAGATGCACATTCTTTCAATTTCCTTTTCCCATAAAGATGTATTTCTTCCCTTCTTGCTTCCTGTCTTAGTACAAGTATTCTTCCTCTTGTCAAAACTAATCTCTCTGTGCTACGGATCCCATCCTTTTCTCTTTCAGAACATTGCTCTGTCAAATTTTCCTCTTTCCCATCTTTCATTCTCTAGGGTTTCTTTCCCCTCCATATATATGTTAGATCTTTTCTATCTTTATAGAAGTCCCACCTACCCTATATTCTTCTATGAAAAGTTATTGTTAGACATCTTCACAAAAAAGCTTCTAGATACACTAGTTACTAACAATACTTCGCTACCTCCATCTAGTCCTCAACCCACTGCAATCTGACTGGGGATACCTCAGGCCACTATAGCTTCTTTTACCAAGGTCAACAATAACATTCTAATTGCCAATGGCCATGTTTCAGCTCTCACCTTTATTCGATTTTAACATGGCATTTGACAATGCTAATGATTCTCTCCTTCAAGCTTTCTTCTTTGGCTTGACTTTTTTTCCTTGGCTTCTACTTGTTTTTCAAACCTACTTTTCCAATTGATTGTTTCCTTCTTGGTGAAAAATTACTCATCTTTATCTCCCTCTTTCCTGTGCAACAAATCCAACTGCTCACATGGAAAGCTCCATCTGAATGTGTCACAGGCATCTCAAATTCAGGATGTCCAAACTGAACTTATTATGCCTGCTCCTCCTAATGTATGTCTTCTCTTGATAGATAACACCACCATCCTTCTAATCATCCAAGTCAGAAACCTGGGACTTATCCTCAACTATTCTTTTACTCTCTCACGTTCATTCATTAAGTGCTTCTGCCGATAACTCTTAAATATCTACAAAAACTGTTTCTTCCTCTCCATCCCAATTGCCTCTGCCTTGGTTCAGACCCTCATCATTAACTGGATGCCCAATCTGTAATTTCACCTTCCTCCAATCCATCCTCTGCACTACTGCACTACTGATAGTCAGCCTCCTGAAAGATAAATCTGCTCACGCTATTTCCCTTGGAAACTATTCATAACCTCCATGGTCTGACTCCTGCCTACCTCTCAAGCTCATTTCCCTCCACCTTCCCAGAGCACTCCAGGCATCAGTCACTACTATAGTTTTCTGAATGGGCTGGGATATTTCTGTGCTTTCACATATATTGTTTCCCCTCCCTAAAATGTCCTTTTCCTTTGACTTTATGGTATACTCTGTACATCCTTGAAGATTTAAATCAAGAGTCTTCTCTGTGAAGACTTTAATTCTCTCTGGTAGTATTATATTCATTCTCTTCCTGTGACTTCAGTTAAGGCTTGCACCAATCACACTGTATTGTGATGTTTGCAGGTCTTTCCTCCTTTTGTTACATGTTCATTGAGGGCAGGGACTATGAGCCTATCATAGTGCCCGGCACATGCTAAGTGTTCAACAAAAGTTTGTTGAGTGGTTTGATTGTCATGCCACAGACTCCTATATGGTATAACAAAGAAATATTTGCTCTACACGACCAATCAGAATATAATAATGATCATGTTTCTATCTGCCGTAAGGATTGGGTACAATGTCATTCTGAGAAAATCAAATTGCTTTTCTGAAAACTAGAAGCCTTGTACGATCAAATTGTTTCTTTGCTTGGGTATAAAGGGATCAGAGTCCATCATCACTGACGGTCCAAACAAATGCCCTTCCCATGCTAGGTGAGCAGTGCTGGGGATGGCCCAGGAGCATTTGGTTCTCCCAGTCCAGGATCTTTACCTATTCAGTAAAGACTGCACAGGTGGCTGTGAGTCACAGTCCCTTTCCTCCTCTTCTTAGTCTTTGCTGCAGTCACCCTGACGGCCTCAGAAAAGCCACCTCACTCTCTCATTATTTTTATTTGCAATGCACCATTACAGGGATCCATTGACCTCAGTGTCATTTTGCTCCTTCCTCCCAGTGCGGTTGGGGAGGGAGGATAAGGGTACAAAGACTCCCAGGGTCTGCCCAGAGGTGATGTACACCCAAAGGCTGCCAGGTGACAGATACTCACCTTATCCCAACGAGAAGAGTGATTCCAGGGCAATCTGAGACCCGTCAAACCCTAGTCAGACCTCCCAATACCTGTCTTGCAGCAGCAGGCACAACACCCTCTCCAGCCCCGGGTCTGGTGTGTACACACCTCCAGCAGCGGTTACCTAGGAAACCCACTCCGCGCCTCTGGCGACCTCCGGGTGGGGAATGGGATGAAGGGGTGGAGAAACAGCGGCCGACTCGCGTCTAGGTCACGTGGCAGCAACCTTCAGCCAATCAGTAGAGTCAGGGGTCCACCCGGAAGGCCCGACTGGTGTTCCTGGGAAAGAGTGAGAAGGTTTTCGCTCCCGGGTGTGTAAACCTGCACGTCTCTTTTTCCTCGGACCTGCCTTCACTCGGGTCTGAGAACGGGACTGGATGCAGTGAGTTACGGACATTGTGGCAGGGACCTTTCCTGTTCTTTGCCTCTTCCAGTTCCTCGGCTCTCTCATATTGAAAATCTTTGACCCTCAGTGCCAGGTAGCCCGGAGCCTTGCTAGACTTGAACCCCAAAGGAATGGCGCTATGATGTCACAAGGTGGCCCGGCGACTTGGACGGGGCTTGATCCCCCCTCCCTGCGGTGGCCCGCGCACCGTGGCCTTCCAGGCCTCCCAGCGCCCGACCGACGCTCGAAGCTGCCGTGCGCCGAGCGAGCCGAACGGAAGGGCAGACCAGCAAAACGCTCCGGTGCCCTTTGGAGAAGAGATGGACTCTTGACCTGCACACGTCTTCTCATAGCAGTTCTCAGACAGGCTTTTGAGTGGCTTTTAAGTATTCCAAAATATTCGGGGAGCAAAATTTATTTACGAAATAAAGTAGAATTTAAAAGGGGAAAGGGAGAAACTTTTTGAAAGAGTGGGCAGAGGGGTGCAGATATGAATTAGTAAAAAAAAAAACCAAACCCATTGCGGTCGAGTCAGACTCATAGTGATCCTATAAGGCGAAATAGAACTGCCCCATAGGATTTCCAAGGAGCATCTGGTGGATTTGAACTGGCTGCCCAACCGTTAACCACTACACCACCAGGGTTTCCAGTTTAGTGACAGGCAAACTAAAGTAATTGCAGCTTTTCATCCTCTAGACCTGCTCTGTCCAATATGGAAGCCACTGGCCACATGTGGCAGTTGAATGCATGAAATGTGGCTAGCCCACATTGAGATGTGCTGTGAAATACACGTATCGCATTTCAAAGAGTATGAAAAAGTAAAATGTAAAGTCTCTTGCTGGTAATTTTTATATTGGTTACATGCTGAAATAATATTTTTGATATATTGGATTAAATAAAAATGTATTATTGACATTAATTTCACCAGTTTCATTTGACGCTTTAAATACGGCTACTAGAACATTTTAAGTTAAATATGACTTGCATTATGCTTCTGTTAGAGCGCTGCTCAATTTTTTTAGTAGTTTATGGGACAGTGTTGAATCTCATTTATGACATTGAGTTCGTGCAAAATAATGCCTGTAGTGCTCTTTTCCATCACCAGATGGCCTCCTCATTCAATAGTTTTAAACTACTTTCTCAAGAAAAATACAGGAGTGCAGATTTTTAAACTATTTTCATTTATCTAACATTAACACATCAACATATTTGCAGTGTTTCAATTAATTTTGTTGTCTATAGTATTAACTAAACATACATGAAAGGGTAAACTCTAGTTTTCTCTCTACATTTTTATTTCTCAGAAAAATTTCGGTTTCCCTCTGTCGTTAATAGATGTTAATTACTTGAATACCTGTGGGTTAGGGGGTTAAAATAAATACCAGAAAAATCTGATTTATATTTGTAATTTTAATTTTATCCTCTCTGAAAATCTAGTTCAACAAGATGACCTTCCTTTGGGGGAAATTTTCTTCATAGCGTATAAAGACTAATTAGAAGACAATAATTTAGATTTCTATACTTTTAGATAAGGAAATTGGATTAGAAATCTACTAGATAAATTATCTACATAATGCTCCTCATTTTGAAGATGCAGCTCTTTTGGGCAAAAGAATGGTGTTATTGGTTGCCCTCCAGTCGGTTCTGACTCAACGACTCTATAGGACAGAGTAGAACTACCCCATAGGGTTTCCCAGGCTGTAATCTTTATGGGAGCAAATTGCCAGGTATTTTGTCCCAGTAAAAGACCCTGGGGGAAAGCTGATGCACAGTTTTCTTTATTATATGAACATGTAATTTTTAAAATGTTGCTATTTTTCAGTAAAGCTCAAGGATTTGACCAGCCAGCAATTGAGTCGGAGTTCCTGGATAGCTGTAGAGTAATAACCATTGATGACTTGCAAAACTAAAGCCTTTGTCCAGAGTAATTCTTAAAGGAAGAATTGCCTGTTAACATATTCCAGATAATATTTAGAACAAAAGATGCTTACAGTTAAAAGCCATAAGGAGAAATGCAAACAGACCATTTCTGTTAATCTTTTCTAATTTTAAACTTCCTTTATGATATGGTTTTGTGTCTGTAAAAGAAGCAATGGAAATTGAAACCACTAGAAGTCAAGCAAATTAAATAAACATTCAAAGTGAAATAAGACCTCATTTATCGCTCTGTCCATATTCCTAGACAAAGGCCAAACCATATGCATTTAAATTGATTATTTATGGGTAAAGCTAACCTGAATCTGAAAATAGTTGGGAAGATAGATGACCATTGATTACAGCAAACTTACTGCATCACCAGCTGAATTAAAGAATCATTTATTTTAACAAAATAGAGGTGACTTTTCAGATCCAAGTAAGAAAGCTTGAATTGAGTAATAATTCGTTAATTAAAATCTTTTGAATCGATTTTTAAATTTATTTCTTAAAAACGCCCTGTCTTTGTTAATAAAGAGCTGTGGAAACATCCAGTCATGATTCAGTTTTTAATTACAGAGAATCAAAGGCCTGGAAATTTTCAGTGCTAATGTGATTTTTGGATGTTTGAAGACATTTGATCCTTATGCAAATGAATATTTTCCAGCTAATGATTTTACTAGGTTATTTTTTAAAAGTCACTTCCCACATTTGAATTTGATATATCATAAAATCATAAATGCAGCACAACTTGGGATTTACTTTGGCAGTAGAATAGGTAATCATGTGGCAGGCACTATAGTCATCAACAGAGACTGTTGTTATTAATGTCTGGCAATGAACATATATTAAGGTCCAGTGAAAAGTTAAGAGTTGTTCTGAAGTAAAGTTTTAATTAGAAAAACAGAATGCCATTTCTGATGGGTTTATCTAAAAGGGTTAAATAGCCTTTGGTTTATACTAATTATATATCAACAATTCATTATATATGGTTTGTTGATATATAATTAATGGACAAGCTTTTCTTAAAAGGCAGCCAGGATGGAATTTTAAAGAGGCCTTTATTCTGTCCAAACAATTTAATCCCCTCATTTTACCATCCTAGTTATATTAACGTTTGGCTCTGAGGCAGCAAATTGAGGGGCAGTGGATTTAAGCAGGAACAGTGAATTTAAGCAGGAGTGGTAGTCCTACTTTGCTAAGATAGCTTTCCAATTCTTTGTATGGGAGAGTTTTGTCCTCGCTCCCTTCTGCCTCTTATTTAGACCTCAGGCTCAGAAAGTTGATTGTATCCTCAGGTCACAGCACAATATTATCATTGTTCTATACAGGGTTCTTTTCTTATTTTACTTTATTTTTAATTTTTTTCTCCAGCCTCTGAACCCTGCTTCAACCATAGGCACAAATCTTGAGTTGTGCGTATGCCTTTGGAAAAAAAGGCCGTATTGTTTTGTGTGTCTATTTTTAATTTACATAATTGATGTCGTGCGGTAAATTCTACCCTGATTCTTTTTCATTCAGTGCTATATTAAAGATTTATCCATGTTTATGTATATCTAGTTCATTGTTTCTGTATTCTGCAAAGTATTCTGTAATATGATCTACCATGTTTTATCTCTTGTTCCTCTTGTAATTGTTGGCTTCAACAAACAACACTGCAATGAACAGCCTTGCCATTGTTCTCTTAAGGACGATTTCTCAGGGATATATACCAGGAATAGAATTATTGGATAAAAGTCAAACACATATAATTTTATTAAATACCATCTGATTTCTTTCCAAAGTGACTATCCCAGATTACCCTCCCACCAGCTATGCATGAGAATTTTCATTACCCATATCTTTACCAAACATGTTTTTAATGTTTGCCTCCACCGCTAGACTTGGAGCTCTGTGAGGACTGTGTCTCTCTCATTCACCATTTTATTCCCAGCATTTAGCTTAGTGACTGTCATGTAGCAAGTGCTCAAGAAATATTTGTTGAATATATGAATGCCAAGTAATGTGCTTAGTGCTTTCCACAGACTATTTCATTTGATGGATTTGTTGCACTGGGCCTGTAGAATGCTCAAAGAATCCTATTCCTCCTCCATTTTCTTTGCAAAAGCAAGATGTTAACAGATAAATTTTTTCCCCACAAACTTATAGTAAATTCTAAGTTTCCTCCATTTTAGGCAAACTAAATACCAAATGAAGATTAGGATTTATAAAACCCAAAATGGCAATGATGGTTTGTAAATCTCCACCCCCTCTTTCCAGAAGATGATAGAACTAGGCTGGACAAAGAATTATTAAGTAGCCTATACGAGGACAGTGTTTGGGGGCTACAATTAGGGCAGATATTTACCTGAAGTAGTTCAGAGTCAAAATCTGGAGCAGTAATTCCAACCAAAATTCACCAAGAAAGCTTCCTAGCATACCCTGGGAAGAATAAACACCAAAACCAAGGATTTGTAGTCAAACAGGGATGGGGAACTAGTAAAGAGAGTTCAGTGTAATGCAATAAATGTCTAAGACTGCGTAGCTTATCTCTGTCAGTAAAATTGGTGTATGTTGTATGAATATCTTAGACTGGCTTAAGAGACTTGAGATGGACTCCTCCCCACTTCGGTGGAGGTTCTGTTTGACAGGAATGGTGAGGTCAGGGCATCCTTAAATTTGCTTTGTATAAGGACCTCTCACACCCTGTAACATTCTTGAGGCGTGTCTTAGTCATCTAGTGCCGCCATAACAGAAATACCACAAGTGGATGGTTTTAATGAAGAGAAATTTATTTCCTCCCAGTCAAAGTAG